AAGCATTGTGTTGTGTTTTGACTGCCCTTAAGGTATCTATTATCTTTCATTTTATCCATTGTCTGCTATCTTGAAAATGTAGGTATTTTATAAACGAATATCCATTCTCAGGCTCTCCACAAAATGAAAATCATGCATCGTGATCTCTGTTGGGATAATGTGTTAAAGTCCATAGATCGAGACAGTTGGTTCATTATTGATTTTGATGATGCATGCCATGCTCCTTCAAATATTCCTAACACACAATTAGTTAAAGAAAGTCATGCACCTGAGATTTTTGAATCCCATCACAATGAGAGTGTTGATATTTGGTCTGTCGGGTATTTGATTCAGACGGCCTCTGTTGAGCTTCAAGGATTGGATGAATTGAAAGTTTATGCAAGAATGAACTTGATGGCAAAGGATAAATCTAATAGACCAACAGCCAAAGATGCTTTGCGGTGGCTTTGGAGCAAATATAGAGATGTTCTCGAAGATTTTTTGGAAGAGGAGGAAATTGAAGAATCATAATTCAGTTATTAATAAAAATGTGAAATAGCTACATCTATAATAATTTTCAGGGGATTAATTTTTTTAAATGCTTGAGTCATCTGCAAAATAATATAATGATTCAAATTCTGCCCAAATGGGTTGTTGGTTTAGATTATATGGCAGGGTTGCGTAATTTATTTTTAGCATTTTAATAAAAAAAATCTTTGCACACACTTGTGATAATTTTTGTGATGATTGTGCAGATCTGTTGATTGCTTATTAGTATTAGGCATAATTTTTTCCAGATTTACTAGAATTCACAAATAATATCATCTTGACATTATGCATTCATGGAAGCCCACTCAAAATCCAAATTTGATTCTTGGACCACTACAAAACATATAAAAATGGAGGTAGGTTTCACTAGTTGATCCTTTTATCCACTTTGCTTAAATCAAACAAAAATTCAATATTAATACAACTTATCTTTTTGTAAAATTATCAACCATCAAAATCCATAAGTTAATCTACTACTACGTATATATTTAGTGAAATCTTTCTTAGAGACGGCATGAAATAGTTAAGTGTCTTTTCCATATCATATTGATGAATCAATCAGATAATTAATATGTTGTGTGACATCAATGGGCTGTGCAATGAAACTATTTTTAGATTCTAACCACCTGATCATAATAATGATTTATCTCGTGTACATTTATTTTCTTTGAGAGAGATCTCTTGGCGTAAAGACTGCATTCTTTTTTACTTATCTCTCTAGAGGAAAACATTTAAAAAATGCAGTATTTCAAAATAATAGATATTTATTGCTTTTATATGTGAATTTTTTCTTACGTTATCTTAACATAATTCATATCAAATATGTATAATGAATTAGCTGATAAAATCTATAATTTCCTTACTACTTCTCCTTTAGGGCATATAACTTCTGTTTCCATTCTTAATCTAGCTATAAAAGAAGAACCATGAATCGAAAGGGATATTTTAAGAAATATAGTAAGTGATAAAGTTGCTTTGGCGAGAAACCAATATATTCACGACACAAATGTGCAAAATAAATTTCATGCAATTATTGAGCAGGTTAGCTATAAGAATATAAAAAATAATATATTAACAGCAAATGATGATTGGTGCATTTCCAATATTGAATTTTTCAGACTTGTGGGGCTTTAGTCAATGGAGAAACCTGTTCAACCTGTTATTTTGGATTCAACTCCAGAAATTATGGAGGTAACTCTGAGTATCCATTAGCCTGTTAGTACCAGGAGTTCAACACCTGGGGATGCGTGGGGGTATTCTGACTCTAGTCCCACAAGTTTTGAAATTCCATATGTAGAAACGGGGTTGCTTACAATGTGCAAGCTACACAGAGATAGTAATTCTGCTATAATATTCTGACAATACACACATATTCTAAATTAAAATGTATAAGTATTATCAAATACTAACATAGTTTTTTGTGCCAGTTTGATACAGCCTTTAGTCTTCACGATATTAAGTTGGTGAAATCCAAGATACTTCTTACCAGAAAAGAAATTATGCATAATATAAAAGACTTGAAAGTGAAACTTAGAGTAAATATAATAACAAAATATAGTTATCTATTGCATACAAAACATATATATATTTCATTCATTTTTTTAATCCCATTTTAAAGGGAAGCTCATTGCAACTCGCTGGAGATTTACGTCTCGAATTAGAAGAAATGTCTGTTCCCAACTTAACATGGAAGGACCTAATTGCCAGTAAAGTAATAAGTGATGATTCTGAGTTGGTACAAAAATTAACAGGACAAGCACATCAGAATTCATGAGACCTATACAGCACATTGCCAGGTGGAGTCTGAGAAATATGTGGAGATTTTATAGAAAACTTTAATAATGAAGGTGTAGATGTTTTACCGCGAAAACTCTTGCATGATGGTTGTTGGAAAGAGTCAGTAGAGGATCTCGTGAAACTTGCAAAGGAAATCCTTGATGTATTGTGAGTATTTTTATCATTTGTTCAAAGTCTCGTCCTTTAACCTTAACCTATGTAATACAGAATTATCAAATTAATAATTCTTAATTGATTTTGAGGAGGGACATATGGAGAAATCCTGCCTTTGGATCCCAATATGCGAAATTTCAAAGTGAATGGACATATGTGACTGACATAATAGTTCCACTTATCTGAGCTACATTTAAAATGCTTCCTATTGGAGGGACAGCTTTTCTTAGCACGTAGGTTTATAAATCTTATATGTCCAAAAACTCGATAACCATCCATTGCAGATTGATCATTTGAAATTAACATAAAATATTTTTATTTAGTGCAGAGAAACAAAGTTTGGCTAGTGCAGATAGAATGGGTGATGGAAAACAGGGAAAGCACCCTGATGTAATGTTTACGGAGATGTGTGATGGAAAATTGTATGAACTTATGTTTGTAGAATGTTCGCACTTGGTCTGCACCAAGAAAAAAAAAGAGAATGACAAAGTGAAGCTATGGAGGGAGATGAATGATGGAATGTATTTTCTTCATGGGAATTGTAGGCCTGTCAAAAATGAATTTGGAATTCTTGGAATTCAGGTTGCGGGGGATATGTTGCACCTTAATATACTCATTAAAGATGGCAATGACATCCACCATCTCTATCACTTACACTCTGTCAAAATTCCGGTGCAGTTATCTAATAGTGAAGATGTATTTCAATTAGTGGAGACATTATTGATATTAAGGAATATCATGATTGTTAACGTTTTGTTACTATTACATGCACCAATAGCTAGATCAGTGCATCAAAAGAAATGAAGTTCCACAGTGTCGTCAGATCAAGAAGATAATTAACTATTAGTATTGAGCATCTTGTGTTATTACTATGTATTTCTGTATCAATAAAGCCGACTCTGGTAGTCGATTACACAAATACATTTGAAAAAAAAATCTATTGATTACACATATTGAGAATTACCAAATTGAGATTATTTGCTTTGAGATATCTACATACCTCTTCATAATCAAATACCTCCTTTACATCTTGTGTCTTCTTATTTATGATAGTTATATGGCCCTCATGAATAGAGATGGGAAATTGCATGAAATTCCAAAATTTCATGCGCATCGTGCACATTTTATGCAATGCATTTTTTTTTTTAAAAAAAAATTTTAAATTTTTATTTATGTATATTAAAAATAAAAAAATTTTTTTTTAAATTCCATTAAAAAAGAAAACTAAATATATTTCAATACCACTCTTCACTATCTTCTATTCTAATTGTTTCATCTTCATCAACACCC